ACAAAAGCTATGGGGTGGGCTTGTCATTAGCAAGTTACCTGATCACCATTATCAACTAGTAACTGCAACCAGGTGAAGATTTATGAGTCATAATTTCTAGCATATCTTCGATTTATGATATATCTATCCTGGCTGTGGTGGCGGAGGGACAGGGGAAATATAGGGAAACGAGGCATGTTTAGGAAAGCTGCATGGTAACAAGTATGCTTCCCACCACCCCTGACTTTTGTTGATTTGGGGCTATGTAGTGGCAGCTAAGGTAGAAAAGCACCTCCTCCGATGCCATGTTTTCAGGGTTCCAAGAGCCTGGAAAGTGAGTCTCTAGCCAGTTATAGGGTTGCCAACTCTGGGTTTGGAAATACCTGTAGATTTGAGGGGTAGAGCCTGGGGAGGGTGGGGTTTGGGGTAGGGAGGGACTTCAGCAGGGTATAATGCCATACAGTCTACTGCCCAAAGCAGCCATTTTCTCCAGATCTCCAGTTGCTGCCTGTAGGTTGGCAATACTAATGAGAGGGCCAGGTTTGTTGAAGACTTCAGTGAGATATAATGCCATAGAGCTCACCCTGTTGTTGTTCAGTTGCACAGTCGAGTCCGACTCTTCGCGACCCCATGGACCAGAGCTCACTCTACAAAGCAACAGTTTTCTCCATGGGTACTGATCTCTGTAGTCTGGAGATCAAGTGTAATTCAGAGAGATGTCATGGAATCATAGAGTTGGACGGGGCCATACAGACCATCTAGTCCAACCCCCTGCCCAATGCTGTCTACCTGTCTACCTGTCCAGGCCTTCCCTTTCCCTCCAACCCCTTTCAGTTCAGTTCAGTGATTAACAGTTTAACTGACTCCCTGCTAATGCCCAATGGCCTCTTGGAATTCCCAACTTGGCAGCTGTAGTTCTAATTCCCTTTGCTATGGTTGCAGTAAGGCCAGCTGAGAACTACAACTCCCAAGGTGCAACGTGTTAAATGTAGGGGTGTAAGAATGGAGGAGCCAGTGGGACTGGCCAATAGGACACCCTGGCAGCTTCCCCAGTGGCTAATGGGAGAGTAGATGAGTCATTGCCAGCACAGCTTGGCTTACACACACACACACACATACACACACACACACACACACACACTCTCACACACACACACACACACACACACACAGAATAAGGCCCATTGGCCTTGGACACTCAGCGTCAGTTTGCTGTGGCGCCCTCAGCAGGGTATAATGACACAGAGCTTACTGTTTTCTTCAGGGGAACTGATCTCTGCTATCTGAAGAGCAGTTGTGACTCTGCTTTGTCTGACTTCTGGCCCGGCCCTGGACCGAAGAACCCTGCCTTGCCTGACTTCTGGCACCTGATACTCAGAGCCTGCAAGCCAGTACATGTAATCGATTATTTACTTTCACTCCAGAATCCTTCTGTTTTCATTTTATGAAGACCCAGATTAAATATTACTGAGACTCCTACAGTGCAGACAGTCTAATTATTCAGAGAATTCTGTGCCTTAAGTGACATCTCTCAAATACACAGTAATAACAGTTTTCAGTTGAGTAGTTTTTGGGGAAAGGACTATGTAAATAAAACTAGCAGTGACTTTTATCTGTTGAAGGCAGAGGCATGAATTTCTGCGTGCAGAAATTATGAGCCCACATCAGTATATGTCAAAAGAAGCATAATCCATGCAATGTCTTGTTCATTCAATCATCCTTACTATATTTCATCTCTGAAAAGTGATTAGGAAAAAAATTATGCATTCTTCTTCAGTAGTGCTGCATCTCGAGTGAATTTCAGTCCCATTTGCTGATTTTAATGATCAAAATAATTTCATACTTATCAATCTTACTAATCCTGCAGAGGCAACACAGCTTAGGGGAGCAGAGTTTTGACTCTTGTTTCTCAAGGAGATGACTGAATATTTGAAAAAGGAATCTTTTTCCTACGAGTGAATAAATGAGGTATGTATGGGAAAGAGTAATTTCCTCATATTAGAGAATATGTTGATCCTGTATATTATGGCGGGGGTTGTCTGCGTGGGAGGAGGCGTTGCTCTGTAGAATAATTGATGAGAATAAGAAAGCTTTGGTTTCAAAAATTTCACTGGGGAGCATGGAATAGTAATGGAATAATGTCAAAGATAGTAAGTAGCTTGGCCTATAGTTTAAAGAATTACTTAATATTCAAATATGTATGCATCCTTCAGATGCACTTCCTCAAATGCAATGTGAGTTATGCTGGTTATGGTTGACACAGACTAGATCAGAGGTGTCAAACTCATTGGTTATGAGGGCCGGATCTGACATAAATGTCACTTTGTCGGGCCAGGCCATGTGTGCCATAAAATGTAACACAAGATACCAGAGATATCAATTTTATAAAGATGATTTCAGATGCTGAATGGCAAAAGCAGGCGTGATTGGATTAGGTGTGATATGCAGAAGGGTGGAGATATCAGCCTTGGTAATGAGACAGGAAACCTAGGTCTCAGTTTGGTACAGGAGGATTCAGTCCAGGAGGATGCAAAGAATAAATGGAAATGAGTCTGAAGAAGTGAACTGTGACTCACAAAAGCACATATCCTACCACAATTTTGTTAATCTTTAAAGGTGCTACTGGACTCTTTCTACTACTATTAAAAATCACAACATTCAAAAACCAGTGGGGGAACATTTTATCCTTCCAGGGCATTCAGTTGCTGACCTAAGAGTACCAGTTCTCTGACAAAGGAATTTCAAAGGGAGATTAGAAAGAGAGACTTCTGAATTGCAACTGATAATGAAGCTCAAGACAATGCAAACTCCTGGACTGAACTGAGACCTAGGTTTCTTCTCTCATTACCAATGCCTGCTATTGTCATTTAGCATCTGAAATCACATCACTCTCCAAGATATAAGGACAGATGGACTCACATTCCAGCTGTATCTGAAGAAGTGAACAGTGATTCATGAAAGCTCATGCCCTGCCACAAATTTTGTTAGTCATCTCCAGTTTGGTGTAGTGGTTAGAAGCGTGGACTCTAATC